CTACGATGTGCAAAGCAGCTCTGCCCCAAAGACCCTAGCAACCAAAAGTCCACAGTTCTCAGGGCGAGGAGGCCCAGCAGAACAGCTCAAAGGACCTGCCCTTGCATTTTCTCTTTATTTCTATTGTGACCAATGGCATCCACTGTTGTATCACTGGCTGCAAAACAAATCATGAACTCCTTAAACGTGTCCCTAAAACATATGCTTCATGTCTACCCTGACTTTAACTGATTTTTCTTCAAGACCAAAACTCAATACACTTATGTATACTTGTTACCATTATTCAGTGATCAGAGCATTTAGTGTGTAGAGGAGGTGACCTTGTGTTGTGGTCATTGCCAAGTGTTTAGTAGAAATCCACCGTAAAGAAAATCGTGGTATAGATACAGTACATGTTCACATACCAAAGAGGTCATTATACCTCAAGCTCCTGAAACCCATCTTCTATGCCTCTGTGCTATTGTGCAATGTATATATGGTCTTTATCCTTTTTCCTGGCTGATAGATTCTAAAACCCTTGAAATATCCAAGTGGATAAGTGTCTTTCGTACACTAATGAGTCGGCCAGTGGCTGGCAGCCACCAGAGAGCTTCCAGATGGGGCTGGTCGTCAGAAACACAAAAGAGAAATTAGAGGCTTGGCACTTTCCAAACCCATTGCCTGAGCACCGGGAATGGAAGAGGGCTTTCTGATGAAGTTGGTCACCAATGCTCAGTGATGCAATCAATCATGCCTAGGTAATGAAGCTCCTGGAAAGCCCCAGAAGAACTGGATATAGAGGGGTTCAGAGAAGAGACCCATGGAGGGCCTGGAGGGGCTGTTCCAGGAGAAGACATGAGTGCTCCCACCCCTTCAAGCATCTCTCTCTTGATATCCTGGCCATATCCTCTATAGTAAGTCACTAGACAGGAATGCTTCCTGACTTTGGGGAACCATCTAGCAAATTGGCCTAACCCAAGTAGATTGTGCATTCTTAGCATCTTCAGCTTATAGCTGATCAACCAGATATAGCTGCAGCCTACTGCTTATAAGCAGTGTTTGAGACGAGACCGAGCTTTCTTGCAGGACTGAGCTTTCAGCCTGCAGATTTGACTTAATTTCCAATATACACAACATTAGAACTAAAGTAAATAGAAAGATATTCAACTTATGTCCACCACACCATTGGAGAATCAGCTGCCAGTGGGGTGTGGTGGGCTTCACAAACGTCTTGAGAACCAGAGGTCCCACAAGTCTTCTTGATTACTGAGTTTTGATTTTTGCTTACACTGTCAGGCCCTTCCTCGTTCACCTCATGATTCAGAATGGTGGCTGCACTAGGAGGTCCCTAAATCTAAGTAAACGCGGGATTCTTTCCCTTGACCTGCTTGTGCTATGGTAAGCGACATCATTTAACATAGAGACATCTGTGGCATTTGAATAATGAGGGTAGCAGTGTTAATTTTAACTACTAGAACTATTTTCATTACGATCCACTCTAGTGTAGGTGCTGCTCTTTATGGATTGGAATTGTGTGTGTGTGTGTGTGTGTGTGTGTGTGTGTGTGTAATTATATTCCATACCTGACAATAACCTTGTGAAGCTCATAAGGAAAGAATTGAGACTTGCGTCCATCAGCAAGGAAACCTGGGCTGCAGCATTGGACTGCCCTGTCCCAACTGCTCAGTCAGCCCAGAGCACTGCTGCCTGACTCCTAGCACTGGCCTTGCTTTTGACCCTTGATTTCCCAGGCATTGCTGAGCCAGTACCGGCTGTGTGGAAGGTGGTGATTTGTCCAGGTCCTATCTGAGAGCCCAGAGAATGCAGGTGTATCAGGCTCAAGTGAATTCATCTCCACTTGGGAGCTGTTTACCCAACTGAGCCAAAAGCTCAAAAATATTGATAGAGTATCCTCCTGCAGTCAAATCACTGTTTGTCTTGCACATGTAAATGATGAGTTTGAGGACTTCAGCCTCTCCTTTGATCACTGGCGTCTGGTGTTTTCTATCTTGTATCAAGTATGCCTTGGGGACAGCTATTATTAATTATAGCATATTGTTTTGTATTTTTAACGTTTCACTTGACTGGCTCCTCCAGGTTTTCCGGACCCTGCTGGCTACACCGTTAAGTATTTAACCTTTTTTTTTTTTTTTTTGTAGTGCTCTGTTTAATCCAGCTTCCCCATTGGCTAGGACCTCAAGTTGACCAAATTGCTGGCTGCAGTCTTGTCAGCATTTCTGCATTCTGAACTGTTTGTTGGCTCTCTAGCAGTCGGTTAGATTTTCCCACACAGCCTGTCTGACACTCACAAGTCCAGTCTGCAGCAGCTTCTATTGTATTAGACAAATAACCATACTTCACTGAAATTCCACCCATTGTTAACTCTAAAGCAACAGGATTTTCTCCAGTCCACCAACAGCCGAGCCCATTGTTATCTGAAAACCCTCTCCAGATGAAAACTGAAAAGAATCATATGACCCAGAAAAGAGATTAGCCTTCAGGAAGTCTTTGGGTTTTGTCATTTTTGTCAAGAGGGAGTGGAAAATAATAAAGCAAAACTTATTTCTGGAATGAAGCCCAATTTCAAAACAGTCTCTGAACTTTCAAATTTGCAAGACAGGACTTCTCAGCATAAGGGATGCAAACCAGTTCTGACAAACCCAAGGGGACCAGGAGCACTTCACAACAAGGGATGTGGTAACTTTTAATTGCCTCTTTTGCTATTCAAAAGGGAGTTAAGTACTGATATGAAGCTTTAGCTCAGTTGTACATACCAATCAGCTAGTTCACTGTGACACGCGAATCCTCAGAGATTCATCATTACCCGGGATTTCTGTCATTGCAGATGAATTTTCCACCTTGTTGAAAATAACATGCTGTACATCCTGATGATCTCTTTCTCTATGCCTCCGTCTGGGGAGACCGACTTAAATGACAGGAGTCTAAAATGGTCTGTACAGGAAACAAACCCAGCACCTTTTGTAACTGAAGAGGCATGGTGTCAAAAGCTGCCTTTTACATGACACTGGTATCCTAGAGGGAGCAAAATGGTTTTATTACCCAAGATTGGAACTTAAGCAAAACCCTGAAACCTGAATAAAATATTAGAAAATAGACACAGGAAACTAGCTAATGACAACTGCTGGGATGGAACAATAATCCCAGGTTCTGGTCCTTTGAACATCACTCCAAGTAGACAGCTTTACTGAAGCAAGGATGCACGGGTGATCTTTGGGACATGACTCCTGCTGATATATAACGGAGAAGTGAGGCAGACAGTGTTCAGGTAGAGTCTCTAGAAATTGGTAAAATGTTCTATATGGATGTGCCCATAGATTAGTTATCCATCACTGCATAATAAATTACCCTAAACTTGGTGATATAAATCAATAACGACTATTTATCTTCTCAGTTTTGTGGCCAGCCTGCAAGAAGACCCAGAGAGATCTCCACTTCCTGGTTTTTACATCTCTCAGCAATCCACTTTCCTATTGGATATGATGGACTTGTGGAACCAGTAGGATACAATAAAAAACAAAAGATAACACATGATTTAGGTAATAAAAAGATGACAGCGTCCCCAGCACCCCTTCTCTTGGTTCACTTGCACCACAGAAGAGTAACTTCCTTGCTCTAAGTCTACTCAGGGTGTAAAGGAGCAGAGAGCACTGGGCTTTCCTGTCCACAGTCAGAATAGAGCTGGGGTCCCCTAACAGCCACATGACGTGGCCCTCTGGAAGCAGAGCAACCCCCCAACCCACCCCACTCCAGAAGTGGCCTTCAAATGGGAGCAGCCCCAACCAGATCTTAACTAACTGTGACCTCATGAAAGACCCCAAGTCCATCTACTCACGTTTCCACTCACTGCATAGAAATGGGAAAAATCATCCTATTTCTTTAAGCCACCACACTTTGAGGTGACTCATTGTGCATTAATAAATAGCCATCGCAGTAAGCTGCAGATTTGGGCGTGGCTTCTCCAACTGGTTTTGACTCTGAGTTTCTTGCAAGGTTATCATCCAACTGTTGGCCAAGGCTGGAGTGATGAACCACTGGCCTGTCTGCAGGGTCTGGTTCAGTACGTGTCTCTAGCGTGGTTAGCCTGAGGTAAATATATATGATTTGCAAGGTGGACTTACAGGGGCAGCCTGCAGCATCAGGTGTGGAAACTTGCAAAACAGCTGTCCCTGCTGGAGGTGTGAAGGACCGGAGCTCTGTGCAGTCCCATGAGGGTTCATATCAGGAAGCCAAAGGGTCCATGCTGGAAACCTTTAGACATTCAAAGTCGATAGCAAACACTAGAGCTGCCCTGCAGAAGCACAGTGAGGCCTCCTTCTTTCCCATTTTATCTCATCCAGGCCACCAGCCTAAGGGCTGGTGCCACCCACACTCAGGATGGGACTTCCAGCTTCAGTGACTACATCACCCACATCCAGAACTGTGCTAAACCAGTCCTCTGGTGTTGCTGATTCAAGCTGACTCCACAGGAAAGCACACAGTGCAGGTATACATGCCTTCAAGCATATGTATGTACATACATATACACACAGAGACACATCTGGAAACATGCAAGCAGAAGAAGCCAGTTCACCTGATGGCAATGAACAGGACACAGAGTCCCTTCCAGGCACTCCCCCTGGTGCCCTAATTTCCTTCTGCTGGACCCCTACTTAGAGATTCCACCACCTCCTGGTAGTGCCACTGGCCAGGAATCAAGGTTCAATGTAGGGGACACTGGGGCACCCTCACCGAGCCATGGCTGTGCTTCTCTGGAAAACCTTGACCCAAGTTTCGGTACTGAGAATGGTTCTCAACGAACAGGATTTTAAGAATGAATTTTCAGAACTGGTTTTAAGGCTTCGAATTTGCTCTCAAGTCTTAGATGTCAAAATGCTAGTGACTGTTTCTTGGAATAAAGAGAGCGCTGATAGCCCTGGAATGAACTGCCGATAGAGATATGCAAAGCATCAGCGTCAGACACCCCGAGTCAGTCACTTACGAGGAGCACTGAGCTGAGTAACTGTGTGCCCGAGACTTTTAAAGGGAAGCCACTGGCTGAGGAAGCACAGAACCCTGGGGACTGTGTGGAGCTCTGCAGGAGTGGCTTCCCGGAGCTGAGGACACTGACTCACGACATCCTGGTGAGTGTTTGCCACTGAGAGAGCTGCTCTTAGGTATCCGCAGTAGTGTATGAGCTGAGATGCCACCAGCTTCACATCCAGGGTTTACATAATGAGATGCCAGTATCAGCACCTCCAGGACTCCTCCTCGGACTCCTCCTCCTCTCCCAGAGAAGGCATTTGTGTGTTTTCATTCTGCATGGGATAACTGCAGCGTGTTAGGCAGAAGATTACCTTGGTACTATCCTTATCTGGAGGTCTAAGGAGATGTGTACAGGTGCCAGAATGACGAAGGTGGGCTTGTGATAATTAACTTTATGTCAACTTGGCTAGACCTGGGTTGCCTAGACTGCTGGAGAAATGGAATTTCTGGGTGTGTCTTGGAGGGTTTTTCCAGAAGAGATCAGCATTTCTTGCTTATCTCAAGCTCTCGGGAAACTCTAACACAATGCCTCAGTGTTGAGTGATCAATATTGTCACTTTGATGCCATTCTTTTTGCTAGAAATAAAATGCTAAGTCTGAAGCATATTTTAAAAGAGGGGGTTTAGGCTCTGTACTTTGAAAAGAGGGTTGGCAAAGAATTTTTGGCTACATTCTAAAGCCACCAGAGCTCACCTGCAGCTACACAGTGCTAACCTTCCTCTCACGTGTGCAATATACATCCTTCATTAGGCTTGTGTCTACCTGTCCCCTAAAGCCTCCCACAGTCATAGGAGGAGTTTTTTGGAGGTGGTTGGATCCGGCATATGGGCTGTTGGGGTCAAAGAAATGTGATGCTGTGATTAATAGAATGATTCTAGAATTAAGCCATTCTCCCCACCACACACACACACACACACACACACACACACACACACACACACACGGGGTGAGTGCCTTGAAGTTCGTCAACTACAAACTGAAATCTCTGCGAACTGTAGCTCGAGAAAGTTTTTCACTTCATTTAACTCTGGTATCGGATGTTTGTCTGAGCAGCAAGAAAAGTAACTAAAACATTCTTCTCAAAAACTCCCTTCTTACATGGAATCAACATCAAATCCCATAGCAAATGAAATTCCTCAGATGTGACTTCTTGACTCTACACCTTCTCTATCTGAAAATCAGTCACCCAAGGGATAAAGCTCTCTGTGCCACACAACAATGCAAAATGATGATTCAGGGATCAGATAAACAAGCGCAAACACTTGTTCAAAAATAGGATAAAACAGGCAACACACCGGAATCCTAAGTCCATAGCAAACATAAAATCATAAAATCTCAGCACAGGTGGGCAATTCCTCAATCAAAGTCAAGCCCTGGGAAAATTTTCCCATAGCTCCTGGCTCTGCTGCTATGTTGATAGTTTCTTCTATCTCCTTCTTTTCCAGGAATTCTAAAGTTTGTGCTTTCAGAGGAACAGTTCTCTCAGTCTGCTTCTTGATTGTAGAAACGCTGGGTTCCAATTTTGCTGTCCTATCATTTCTGCTCCTTGTAGTTGAAGTAAACAATGTGTTTGTCAATAAAATTCCTTTAAAAACTTTGCGTGTCTCCTATGATCCATGTGTGTGCTCCATGAGGGAAAGAAAAGCCATTCCCATGAATGTCTTAAAAGCAACCCTCCTCTGTCTCTTGGGATTCTATGGAAAATAGCAAGGATCTGTGCTCTCAGGTTCCTGTACAGTGTTACTGTTGGAATGGTCCTCTCAGGAGCACGCTGGAGACTGCTGAGATTTCAGCAGGTATGCACAGGTACTCTGGCCACTACTGTCTCTTGACGGAGGTACGATTCCCTCTGCTGTGAAGCCATTGTTAGCATTAGCCTCAATTGTTATGTGGAGGGTCTGGGATTTTATAATTTCTCAAAAATAAAATGGTATGTTTCGCAGATATTCTGGTGGTGTACGTCTCTTCTTTTTCACCTTAGTGCAAGTAGAAGCTATACAATCCCCTCATCATTGTTCATCTGAAATCATTTTTACAGAACCCTCTAGCTATGAAGTGCATTTCATTTATTGGAAAGGTACTTTCATCAGCTGACTGATTGGAACAGGTAGCTTGTGTACCTGGCTGGAGTCTTGGAATCATAAACTCTAACAAAGTATGCACACCTGTGGGAGAGGGAAAAAACACACACATAACTTCATGAAAGAAACTGTCTCTGTGAGGGGAAAAGAGGGAGGAGAAGGGGTGCTACTGCAATCAATACCTACTTAAAATCTCCTGTGTGGTATTAAGTACTTTAAGTATCATGCTTACAATTTCCATTACACAAAGATTAAGTTAACATGCAGTATCTCTTTTGATCAATATTTTATAAAATACAGTAAGTATGAACATTATAAAACATTTAAAATAGAAAAATATGCATGTCCATTCAATGCAATGCAATACATTTTTAGTGTTGTCTTCAAAAGCTCTGAAATCTCATGGTGAAGGTGGCAGTACATGCAGGCTGGTCCCATGTGAGAGAAAGAAAATTCATCATATTCATAGAAAACAGATAGTACAGTGCTATGACAGCCTGGAGAAGGGAGACAGTAATCTCTCTCATCTCTCTCTCTTTCTCTCTCTCTCTCTCTCTCTCTCTCTCTCTCTCTCTCTTTCTCTCTCTCTCTTTCTCTCTCTCTCTCTCTGTCTTGTCTCTCTCTCTCTCTCTGTCTCTCAGTAATGGAAATTGAGCTCAGGGCCTTTGCACAGAACCATATCCTCAGCCCTTTCACGTTTTTTATTTTGGGACAATGCCTTGCTCAGTTGCCCAGCGCCAGCTCTAACTTGAGAGTCTCCTGCCTCAACCTCCCAGAGTGCCAGGATTGCAGGTGTGCACTGCTACAGCTGGTCACAAATACTCACCTTGACCCTTAAGATCAGGCTGCTTCTCAGGGATCTGAAACCATGATGAAGACTACATTTTTTTTTTTTTTCAATAAGAGAAGAAGGGGCTGATCTGGCGAAATGGACAAACAGAATGAGAGATCTGGAGGAGGCAGAGAAGACGCCAAGAACTTGGATGGAGAATGTGTGAGGCAGGCAAAGAACACGGAAGGTCAGGATTCGGAGACAGCTGGAGCTGGGGGCCCGAGAGAGAGAAAGGACTCCTACACTGGGGAAACTGAGGTGGATTTTGTGGAAAACAGGAGGCAGCTGGGGCACACTTCTGGGAGATGATACTAGCAGCCCAGTGTTTCAGGAACAATTTTACTAAGTATTCGTTTCGTTTCATTTCTATATGGGCCTTTATTGATTTGGAGGCAAATTAACTGTGAGAAGTCATCCTAAGAACATGCAAGGGTGACAGATATGACAAAGTATTACTTTGGCTTCAGTCAAAATATAATGAAACATATTTAGCATGGCTTGCCAGGGCAAAGGCCTTTAATTCCTGCAGTTAGTTATGATAGCAAGCATCGATCTTATGGAAATTTTCCAACAAAAGAATACAGTTAAATATTCAATTCTAGTTAGTGATTTGCGTGCTTGCATTCTAGGGGAGTTGTACTGATAGGTGCAGGTTTCTCTGAGAAGCATCCAAAACATATGATGATTATTTGCTGCATGGTGAGATGGAAAAATAGACGCACAGAATAAGGAAAGCTTAATTAAAAGTTATGCAGGAGTAGCTGATGAGTATATAGACTAGCACCTAAACCATTTTCCTACTTTGCTGTCTCTGAAAATTTTTATAATAATATGTTGGGAAAAAGAATAGCAGAGATCTAAAAATAATATTGTTAGATTATTGTTGTGCAAAATAATTTCACATTTGTAGTTTCTCTGTCTCTCTCTCTCTCTTGCTCTCTCTCTCTCTCTCTCTCTCTCACACACACACACACACACACAAAAAAAAAAAAAAAAAAAAAAAAAAAAAAAAAAAAAACCAAATGAGTTTTCTCGAGTTATTTGAGACTCCTTGTTATTTACTGCCTGACAGGTGCTGACAGATTTACCCCACACAAGCACTTGCCATATTTTTCTTCATTGACCGTTTTTATAGAACAAAAGTTAAATGAGCCCAGTCTTTTGCAATTAATTTTTATAACATCATTGATTAGATTTCCCCAAATAATTTATTTCTCACTCCATTCCCTAGGAGGTAATTGCATTAAATATCCTAGTATAACATTTTAAACCGGACTACCTCAGCATTCCCCGGAAAGATTTACAGAAGTCTGAAATACAAAATATTTCTGCCTAATGGTCTGTATGTAAAAGCAACAGAAATATAGAAGGTAGGAATCATCAACGTTATATCTCTCCTAAGAGTTGTCTAAGTAATCAAAGATTTCTGGGTGTGGGTACTTATGCATTGCACCAACTGCAGTTAATTAAACACTTAAAATATATGTTTCTCTTGGATTTAACATTACCTCTGCACAGCTGGTGTAGTAAACCATTTCACGTGGCCCATTCAAATATACAGCCTCATTATCAAATTCAGTCAGTAAATAAGGAATTTGTCTGCAGTTTACCGGGCACCAGCTACACTCTAGGAAGTTACAGAAGACACAGAGACAGCCCTTCACCTTGGAGAGTTTTCCATCAAGGACTCTTAGAGGCACAGTGTGAGAATTAAGAAGGCCCTAATTAAAGGAATTTCTACCCAGCTGGGGCACAATGCACAGAAACAAAAATAAATAGAATACTGTGTCAGATGGAAATGCCATGCATACAAAGATAAACGGTTCCAAGGTAACTCTCCCTTCAGGACATTAGTTATAATTTACAAATACCATTTTAAGTGGTCAATGAATACTTCATAGATCTATCATTTCAGAGTGATAGTTTAACACTGACTTTAGAGAAAAGAAAACAAATAAATATGGTAAAATTTCACCCACAGGGAAGGCTCACATTTATTGAATACTCTTTTGGGCACTTTATTAGTTTTCTATTGCCAATAGTTCAATTCTCGTCATAATTTTATGTGGCCAATATTGTTTTCTACATATTTTGCCAATAAGGAAGCTGAGATCTGGAGTAAGTGAAAGGTATTTACTCAACTCTGCATGAGCAGGAAGACAGAGAGTGTGAAACTGGTGGACGTTGGAGTCCACAGCCTGCGCCGGCCAGTTGGATCCGCAGCAGAAATGAATCAGGAATGGGTTCCATAAAGAACTTGTGTATTTTACCATATTCTCAAGGACTATGAAATTCTCAGAAAAGGATTTTAGATCTCATGATACCATTGGAAAAATGGGAGAACAAAACTATTTTGAGGAATTGTTAAAAGTATACCAAACATGCTGGAGGTAACTATCCCAGTGTAATTCAGGAAGAGGAGAAGAGGAGGAATCCTCACCAACCCGTCCGGAGTTCTCCTCTCTAAGAGGAAATAACTCTCGCTCTGTGAGCACTTGCTGAGTCCCAGGGCCATTTCAACGTGGTCTAGGGCTCAGGTAATCCTCCCTACTTTGAGATGGGGCAAAGAGGCCAACCAAGGCAGGGAAATAGTCCAAGGTAATCTGGTCAGCGGAGCTGGGGTTAGATCCAGACAAGAACTGCTCTGAGGCCACCTGAATGTGAACTTGTGCACACTGCTTGGTCCCCAAAATGTACAACGTGTCGTGCATTTTGAATTTGTCCATTTCTCCTCGTGTGGCTAGAATTCTCCTGGAACAGTGCTATTTAAGACTTAGCCCACCTGTCGGCTATGGCTTTGCTACTTATTCTTAAATCTTTTGGGAAAGAATACGGCTCACTCCAGACCTGCATTTCTAATGTGACCATTACCTGCTCTTCCTGGGAATCAGGGTGAAGTGGGAGAAAAGTACAGATATGTATTCTATCATAGCTATCTATTCTTGCATTATGGATGATGTATCTAGAGAAGTTGTTGTTTTACTTGTAGATAACAAAAAGCAACAGATTTTTGATGTGGAACAATTTATATCATGGTTTCTGCATCTTTAACAACCAATATCTCCTCATAGTTCTATTTATATATGTCCATACACACGTAGATATAGACACATACTTCTGTATCATATATGATAAATAATATGTATAATAATACACAATACATAATGCATTATGTACACACAGGTCAGTGGCATATGTATATCAATCACTTTCATGCACTTATATGTGTAAGGATCCATGACAGAGACATAGGCTTTTGTAGGGTACATGGAGAAGATGTACTCACTTTTTATGTGAGCTATTTTTCTTCCAAATTCATTGACTTTTATCTTGGCCTGTCACAGTGTATATGTGTGTTCATTGCTTCTTCAGTTTCAGTGGTTTCCAACTCAGTGTTCTGTGTGTTTCTAAAATGGAAAAACTAGAAATACACATTCACGAGTTCCATGAGTTACTTGGTTCAGCTGCTCTGACCCACTTATTGTAAAGGGCGTCCCCTGCAGGTGTGTTGGAGCACACCTGTAATCCCAGCACATGAGAGGCTGAGGCAGGAGAATTACTGGGAGTTTGAACCGACCTAGGCTACATAGTGAGTTCAAAGTTATGCTTGACACTGCATCAGAAAAGATGAGCAAGACCCTGTTTAAAAAAAAAAAGCAAACAAAAAAGTGTCCCCAAGTGA